AGTAAATTTACTAATGTTTGTATTTTGAGAACGAGTTTCGAGGTGGAAATTGAAACGTCAATAAACTTACTTTAACCTTTAATTGTGGCTTATTCCCATTTAAATAGTAATTACTTTAAAATTTCACAAGAAAATAGCTTCAGAACATAATTATAAAATGAAAGAAAACGATGAAATATGATGTTTGACATTTTACAGACTTTTAAATGTTGTAATCTTTTAGCGTTAATGTAGTTCGTAGACAAATCACCACGCACCGCCACAGGGTGAATTGTGCGAGTAGGACTTTTCATCAGCCGCCATGTTTTACCTACGGACAGATTTAACAATCATGTATAATATATAATATACGGCTTTCGTTTATAAATTTATAAAGAAATATTTATAAAATTAATATTTTTTATTTAATTAAGAAATAAAGGCTTTAGAAAATTTATAAAATAATATACCTATCGTCTTTAGATGGTTTAGAGCATATATCACTCTTACATATTCCATAACAACACCTCTTCGTTGTTCCTTTTCGTAAAATGGCACTTTATTTTTTTCAACAACTACACTTTCTTTGGTATTTTATATATTAATTATCTATATTATAGATAATTAATATATAATAATAAGATATATATATATATATATATATATATATATATATATATATATTATATATATATATATATATATATATATATATATATCTTATTTATATTTCTCTCGTAACCTCATAACTCTCGTGTTTGTTTACGAAATGTCTGTTCGAAAAAAATGGCTGACACTATTTTTTGATGAAAGTCCTATAAACGTGAATTTTGACAATTAATTGTATTATTTTAATTTGGCACCAATACTAGACAATTTTGCATCGAGCAATAAGACAAAAGAGGGAATCTAATCCTTATGAAAAGGAGACCAAAAAAGTGGCCTCTGATGGCGGACATATCCGGAAATGCGAATGCGCGAAATTTAAATTTTCCGACACTTATCAACAGTAGCTATATAATATTTTTCAGAATGTGTCTTAGACGAGAAAGTTTTAATTAATTATCAATAATAAGAGTCTAAAATGCGACACAATTGTTAAAAAACTTCAATATAAATAAGATTTCATGTGACATTTGGGACAAACAATAACATAACCCAACTAAATTTGATGTCAAACAAGGAGAGAGACTCTCTTTCCTTGTTTAATGTGGCCTCTAAAGATCGCACTTCCTGTCTAACAATATGTTTGCCCCCACTACCTTTACATTCCCTCTATTGTCTTTTTGCTCGATGCAATTTTGACAGTATCTTTTAACCAATGACGTATAATATATAGACTCGGTGAACGCTTTAAAAAGTGTCCAAAACATGAATACCTTAGTTATTGTTTATTGTTTTGATACGAAGATGCACGAAGTTCATGATTTCTTACGAAGCATCACGAAGTTGATCTTGTGTTTGAAAACATCATGGACGTACTCCATTTTGTGTGACAAGCAAATTTTATTGTAAATTGTTGATAGTTATTTACTTACTATTTTAGTAAAATGCCATAATATTTTATCAAAATAATTATTTCTCTTATAGACGGGAACAAAAAGAAATCATAAATATTTAATTTTAATTAAAAAAATAATTATTGTCATTAACATATAAATGAGCACGCCGCTGTTCTAATAAACATACCTTCAACCTTGAGCCGAGATCTTTCGGACACTCGATTCTATAGCGAGAATAGGGGACTGCGTAGTCTATATATTATACGTCATTGCTTTTAACTTATCCCATAACCTATTTTTCTGGGTTCAGTTATTGCTAATTTATAGTCAGGTCATTTTACTCCAAAGAAATCAAAGTAATTGGTTTAATATCTCTGTCTAACTCAGTTTGGTAATATTTTGACAGATTCATTGTCGGAAACTACAACACAAAAATTTCTGCCTCTCACTATTAATAGTCCAAATAAACTGACTGTTGCAGACTTCTTTCATTGAAGAAAGAAGAATTAATATCAATAATAAGAATAATATTCAATAATTTTGATTATAAACTTCGAATTTGTATATAGTAATCTATAAACAACTATAAAATTTCAAAAATAAACATTTAAACGTTTAACTGTTTATTTAATTTAAAAAAAGCGGAGAAGTCAGGAAGTATCATCCAGACTGATGCGGAACTGCATCGGAGAACTGAATAAACTGGGAAATTGGAACAACATTGAGCTTGTCTGGGTACCAGAACATCAATGCATCAAAGGCAAAAAAAAGAAGAGCAACTTGCAAAAAGAAGAGCGGGCGAACCAAAAGGATCAGCTATGACCCTGAGAGCAGAAAACTGTAGTCCGAATGGCTGGAGAGGACTGGGTCCGAGAAAGACATGAGTCATATTGAGAGAGAATCTCTAAACAAAATTTTCATTGGTAGACCATGGTCAAAAAAGAAACTGCTCCATATGGGCAGGAATAAACTGAGAACAGTAACAGAGAAAAGACTCTCTCTTTTGCTGTATGGCCCTGAAAGTTGGACAATGGACTCTGAAAGAGAAAAAAGAATAGATGCCTTTGAAATGTATATATACAAGCGGATGCTGAGAATTCCGTGGATATCCAAAGTTACCAACGGTGAGGTACTTAAGGTACGGCGCAAAAGTAAACAAAAAAAAATTATTCAGAATAATCAAAGAGAGGAAGGTAGAATACTTGGGTTATGTGTTGAGAGGTGAAAGATATGAATTACTCCAAATCATATAACAAGGTAAAGTGCAGGTCAAAAGATCAGTTGGAAGACGCCAGAACTCGTAGCTGAAAGACCTGAGGAGATAGTTTGATCCCTCATCCACAGAAATCGTTCGTGCAATAGTTTCCAAAGCTACAATTGCCATTTGGATCGCCAACCTTCGAAAGGAGACGGAGCAATAAGAAGAAACAAAAAACCGGGCAAACTTGTACAGGTACAAAAATTTTAGACTGGGTGTAGGAAGCAATAATGGACAGCAAAGATAATAAGCTTCAGCGTCAGTGATAACAAAGATCTTTGATCTGGTGGACCCAAGAAAAAAATATGGAAGCCCTAACTGCATCCAGGCATAAAGGCAAAGTCAGATGAAAAAATTGTAGGGAAAAATAAGTCTACTATAGATATTATAATAATAAATACTGCCCAAGAATTTGAGTTGCTTATGCAAGTATAACACCTGTCACAATAGAAGGGTCTTTCTTAACATTAATATAGATGTCTTTTCATAATTTTTGGAATTTTAAATAAAAACTTCTTACAGCTTTTTGACCTATGCATATACAACATTGATTGCGATATATTTTTTCTAGATCACTGAGAAAATATAATCTTTTATTGGAGGGCATTTTCTCTTCGATTGTTTATGATGACTACTTTACTCGTTTAGTGCTTAGTAACTAAAAGTTTGTAGTGATAAAATAATTACTCTCTTCTCTGATAATGTTTAAATATTGAGTATATTCTATTTTTAAAATTCATCTAGAATGAATTATGAAAGAAATAAAAGCTTCTAATGGTAAAGAAATGGGTTATTGTTCATTTCAAATATAATAGCTAATGATCGATGGCAGTTTTTCTCCCTCACACACACAGCAAAACTTAGATGGCCTGACCTCTTCTAGATTCTCCACATCCCTCTTATGCCCTGCATAAGGACCTCATTGAACATTATAAATATTGCAAAAAGCTCTAGAGTCTAAAGAAGATGCGCAGAATCCAAGCTGCAGCCGCAGAGTCCTAAGGAACTTTAGAGGTTTTAGAAATAAACTGTCTGTTACTTCAAAGACGTTTATATTTACATATGGAGTTATGTGCCCATATAGTGGTGAGAAAGGAAATAATTCAATTAGAACACTCATTGGTTAACATTTGCTTAAGTGGTCGACATGTGAACGTCAAGATTTTTGTTTCGTTCGGTTTAAAGTTTTAATTCACGTATTTCAAATTCCATTTATTTCATTCCATTCAAACGAGATTTTTTAATAATATCCCAAAATCTTCCAAGAAAAACACAAATTTTCTTGGGTCGCTTTCTCTGTAAAGATTACGTCTCAAAAGCGTTGATTGGAATAAACAAAATCTAATCATTTATTTGCATTGAAAACTGTCGCTAGCAGAATTAAAAGTGGTCAACCGAATTCCAACCGCACCAAACTCGATCATTTGCCCGCGCCCCTCGCAGCGGAGGCAGGGTCAACTTTTAATTTTTAAATTGTAAACACCAATTTTTATTGCGGATTCCGTAGATGCATTCAAATGTCTATCTAACCGCCTCAATCACGATCATCCCCCTGACGGTTGGGACGTGAGCAACTTTCTATTTTAATAGTGATTTACTATTTTTTTACTGCGGATTCGACATCAGGCCGATCAGGTGAGAGGCCATGCAGTGTGGTTGTGACTGCTTTTCTCGGAGGTCTGTCTGAATGTGCATGTGTTGATAGTAAATTCTCTATCCTTGGTAGGTTGGTTCGAAAGAAAATTACCAGTTAGAGTCGCAGTAAGTTAAGGTCTCCTCCACAATGTCGCTCCTCGGTGACGTAAGGATGAAAATGCCTGAAGAAAGCCCTCTTTTAGAAATTGAAGACATCAAAGTGCTCTTCTCGCTCGGACTCTCCAAACAGCCTGGAAAGCCACTCCGTTATTTTCGCTGGTTGGCAACAGTGATTGACGTCTGCTTATCTGGCTATACTTTGACTCACTGCTCATAGAAATGCATGGATGCATGCAATTTCTTATGATGTAAACTGTCCAGTAATCTGCGGGGATATCTTGTACTGTACTGTTGACATCTGTGATATTTATTTATCAGAATTGTTATTTTATTTGAAATAAACGAAAAACACTTAAGTAGAAAAAGGTCCTAAAAGAGTTTTACAGTCTTAATAAAAAGATTATATGTACTAAACAGAAATGCGAGTCTTAAATATACTTTTAATGGTAACCGATCTAATCATCTAAAAAATTATAAAAATAAATTGATTTAGTTCGTCTAGAAAATACATGAGTTTGCTATGTTTTTTTATTACATTAAAATATATCTATAAGCATTTTTAATTAAAGTTGTAACAGTCATCTTTGCAGTTGTCTACTTTTACATCAATTAAATCATTGTAACTATACTGCTTGAAGCATCCAATCATTACCATGATGTAATATAGTTAACAAAACAATGAAGGATATAGAAAAAGTTAAACACGATCGTGGACATTGTGTTAGTAAAAAATTCTCTATAAAAAGGCATATATTATATAAGAGAACCCTTTCGGGCTAAATCACAGAACGTTTTCGGAATAAATATTCCATCTTCATTGTTGCTACTAGGCAAACATGTTTAAAGCCACTAAATACATGGATGAAAACCCTTTAAATATTATTAAATTGATTTTTGTATTATATTTTTGCTGATAGTTTTATAGGATATTGAAATTTTATATAGATTCATTTGATAGATTCACAACTGTTGCTACGCATGGTTCGTTTAGATACAACGTTTTCGGACCAATAACTCGTTGAAAGTGAACATCAAATGTTAATATCCTATAAAATGTTCGACAATCATGTAATTTATTACCAATTTAATAAGATTTGAAGGGTTGTCATCCATAGTATGGAGTATAATGGTACATGCGACAGTCAACTGCTCACAAGTAGGAGAGAGTGGTTTTAATAGGTAGGCAGGATAACGGCAAATCTCCGTGAATGGTTTGGATGCAGTTCAATTGAACTATTCAGGCGAGTAACCAATAAAATTATAATTGGCAGAATGATTTCCAATCTCCGATAGGAGTGGAACTTGAAGAAGAAGAAGGATAACAGGAAGGCATCCGTTTGCAGGACCTCCTTCTAGGGGGAAATGGGCTCGAGTACCCTGAATCCACAACACGCCAGCCGTCCCTAGGGATTTCCACCCTCAGAAAAGAAAAAAGAAAGTAGCAGCACTGAAGATAGAATATTTATTACGGACATGTTCTGTAATTTGGCCCGAATATCCTTGAAAAATCATATTCAATTCCACAGCCATGTATGCTGAGCGTATATACAAAATTTGAATTATACACAAAAAATTGAGGACCTTTGGAATCGTTTGCATATCTTCAAGAGGTAACAAGATGTAACATGACCACGTTATCGTTTAATATAGTATGTGCTAAGAGCCAACGGACCGAGTATACAGGAAATAAGATATTTTTAAATTCCTAGTACTTTCTAGACGAAATATCTACTATAATAAATGTGTAGCTTGAAAGGAAAATAATATTAATAGTTTCTGCAGTTTATAATAGTGTCTCATTCTAGTAAAGTTCACTTTGTAAAATCACAGTCTCAAGTCTAAAAGTAGTGTCAGAAGACCAGCAACTTTTTCGGCAAGTGTATACCAGAACAGTTCCGAATTCCAGTCTGGCGATCTGCTTGGGATCGGTTATTAGTTTTAGTTTGGAAATAATGGTTGGAATAACTTGAAATTCGAAGACGAGATCTCCTTGACAGTATTGGCACTTCTTGGGCGCTTCTTGGAGGGGATAGATAAATAGCGGCACAGATTCTCTGCTGTACCTAAAAAAAGAATAAATTTTAATCAGTTTAGTTGAATTATATATGTATGCAAACTTCTGCAATAATAAAAAAATCCGTTGGCCCTAGATATTAATTTTAAAATATTCTCAATAATATTCTCTTTTTAAAAATGTTGCCTTACTGACAAACCAATAATCTAGGTAGATGTTAACCAATATAAATATACCTCAATTTTCAAATGTAGTCATTTTCAGTCTACTGCTGAAAAAGAAGTAATATTTGTACCCCCACCGCTGTTTGTCGAATGAGCTCATCTAAAATTGGGAAAGATATGTTATAATCATCTGTCCGAACCTTATTGTTTCTATAATGCAGGGTTTTAATTTCGATTGGTGCCCTACAAATGGTCGCCAACAATTTTAATTTCAACCGGTACTCTGCAAATTGCCACCAATAATTTTAATTTTGACCAGTGCTCCACGAATAATTTTTTACAAGAACAATATTATTCTTTACTGGGATAAAAGACATTTTTCACAACACGGTTGTGACGGGTGCTCAACGCAAACTATGGTGTATTTTTATGTATGAGAGAGTAATAAAACAATAAATTATGTATGCAAATCCCTAAACTGTTGATACGGGTGACTCAATGAAAAACAGATATTTGTCAACAAGTTTACAGAAGTATATAGGAAAACAATTTTAAATTGAGTATGACCACCAGGTATAAAGGTTGGAGCAGAATAGAATACAATAGTTGTGAGGGTTACTAATCCCTAAATAAGGTTGCCAGTGTCGGAGTGATGGAGGTTAACAGGTACTAATGAACTTGCAAGAAATGTAAGATGTTTATTTTATTGGTTATATATAACCAATAAAAGTTTAATAAGTACCTACCTATTTGCAAAATAAAGTTTAATTCTTTAGATAAAATAAAAACGTTTTATTTTATCTGAAATGAGTGCATTCCACGAAGTAAGGGTTTCAACAATCAAACAATACATGGAAGTGCCGTGTAAACGCCGAAAAATTGTTCCTTTAACAGTTAATGAAAAAACATTAATATTTAATTGTTTTAAATCATTTACAGACACACGTTTATGTGAAAGTGTTGATGAGACCGTTGAGTTAGTTAGCAGTACACTTGGTGTTGGGAAATCTACGATTTAAAGAGTTATTCAAGAAGAGAAATGTGGTAGTTTTCAAATGCCACGTAATGCTCCAGGGAAACCAAAATTTCAAATAAAATATCATTTTAAAGAAGGACTTCGACGGAAAGTGCATGAATTCTTCTTTAGACAAGAATTTCCAACATTGGATAAAGTTCTTGTCTCAGTTCGAGATGATAAGGTTTACCCAGAAATAAGTCGAAGTACGTTATGGAAACTTTTAAAAGAAATAGGCTTCCGCTGGAAAAAGAATCCCAGAAAGTCTATTTTATTAGAAAGAAGCAATATTGTCATATGGAGAAGACATTTTCTAAGAACCATAAAGGAAATGAGAAACCAAAAAAGAAAAATATTTTATCTTGATGAAACATGGATCAACGAGGGTTATACACCAAATAAATTTTGGCAGGATGAAACTGTTACAAGTCAAAGGCACGCTTTTGTAAATAACTTATCTACTGGTTTAAACCCACCATCAGGAAAGGGACGCAGGCTGATAATAGTACACATTGGCAGTTCAGACGGTTTTGTTGAGGGTGGTTTATTAACTTTTGAATCAACTCGTACCGGTGACTACCATGAAGACATGAACGCTGATGTCTTTCAAGAATGGTTCGAACAAATGATAGATCTTCTTCCTAAGAACTGTGTAATAGTAATGGACAATGCAAGTTATCACTCCAGACTTATAGAAGGACTGCCCACAACCAAGTGGTTAAAAAAAGACTTGCAGAATTGGCTGAGTTCAAAAAATATTACGTACCATCCCGGATCTATAAGAAAGGAACTTTATTCGTTGTGTGCCCTTCATAAAGAAAAATTTAAAAAATACGAAATTGATGAAATTGACAAAAATCGTGGAATGACAGTACTTAGATCCCCACCATATCATTGTGAATTAAACCCGATTGAACTGGTATGGGCACAGATAAAGAGTGAAGTTTCAAGAAAAAATACCACTTTTAAAATTCATGATATTAAACAGTTGTTTTTGGAGGCCGTAAATAATGTAAAACCTGAAAACTGGGAAAAGGCAGTAAATCACACTATTAAAGAAGAGGAAAAAATGTGGAAGCTGCACAATATTACTGATAAAATGATCGAGCCAGTTATTATAAGTCTTGGTTCTGAAAGTTCATCTTCTGAATCTGATTTGGATTTGTAACAAGTAGCTGTAAGTTTTATATTAATATTTTTATTCATCTGTTTAACATACCTTAGACGGTTTTAAAAACTCTTTTTCTCTTTTGTAATTTTTAAAAATTAAAAAAAATGTGAATTTTTTAAAACCCTTTTTAATGTAGGCCAGTCAGTTCTAATATAGTGTGTGATAAAAGAGGTCACTTTTGTTTACATACACATAACACTTTATAACACTGAAATAATTCATTTATTTTTTACAATTATTCAAAGTAATTTTTCAATTAATCTTGAGCACGCCCATGGAGTGGTCGGAGGTACCAGTTAAAATTATGCTAATTACTCTCTCGTTCATAAAAATAAACTATGAAATAAGTTTTTAAAATTTTAAGCTATATTTAGCCATACAGCTCACACTCCCTCTAAGGGGAAACTACACTCATCCCAGATACCTACGGTATCAATAGGATTAAGCTGCTCTGGTGAGACTCTTTCCGTGTTATCGAGCACTAGGTGACTTAATATGCTGGATTATCTCCCAAAAATTTTCGTACACATCTGGACGTCGGGAGTACAGCTTTCTGCATGGCGTTATAAAGAATTTAGACCCAACTGTTTTGTGTTCGCTAGGAGATTTTTGGGAATAACACCAGTAGTAGATAGAATAATAAGTACTGTCTGGGTACTTTCCATTCTCCATTGTCTCCTGATTTGTATTTCTAGATCTCTATACTTGGCGATCTTTTTGTTGTATTTAACACACAAATTATTGGTGTTAGGTATCGCCACATCAATAAGTGTTGTTGTTGTTGTTTTTATAACAAGCCATTATTATTATTATTATTATTATCAACCATTAAGAAATAAAGTATAATTCTAATCTAATTTTCCTTCTACCTAGGTATTGTTCTTTCCAGCCACATGGTGATTTATTTCGGATCAAACTTGAATGCAATTAATAAAACTACATTTCTCTCAGGGTTTTGCACAGTTACAGAAAAGCGGCCTATAATCGCCGAATGCCATAAATTTGTCAATTTAAAAAATACCGCGCCAACCTACATTCCTTATAGACGAAGTAATGAAGCAGTAAAAACCCAAAACCTACCAAATTTCTGCAGTTGGATGGATCTCAATGAAACTTTTTGCATTTGATTCGTAAGCGTGACGGAAATGAGTTCAATATTACTACTTGGGGGTTTTTAGGGTCACAAACCCCTAAGTTTGTGGTTTTTTGAATACAAATATAGTGACGGCGATGGTCTCCCAGGCACCTGGTACCTAGGATGGAACCCGTCTCTTGGAGTTTTATGGAAATTCGATACAGAATCAGTGCAAACTCGTTACCCGGAGGTTTTTGGGATCACTGAATACGAATATCATATCAGCGATGGTCTTCAAGGCACCGCCCATGACGAACTGATTTTGTATCGAATTTCCATAAAATTCTAAAAGATGACCCCCCGTGCTGGGCACCAGTAATATTGGAGACCATCAACGTTATACTAGTAGTGTTCAGAGACCCCAAAAAGCCCCGAATAACAAGTTTGCACCGATTTTGTATCGAATTTTCATAAAACTCCGGACTCCGGTAGACAAGTCCTGTCCTGGGCACCAGTTATCTCAAAGACTATCGCCATTGCCGACATAATATTAGTGATCTACGACCCTAAAAGCCAAAAACTAACGAGTTTGTACTGATTTTGTATCTAATTTTCACAAAACTTCAGTAGACGACCAGTTCTGTTCTGGGCACCAGGTGCCTCAAAGACTATCCCCGACACCATATTTGTGTTTAGTAATCCAAAAAATCCTCGAGTAACGAGTTTGACCTATGTATCGAATTTCCTTAAAACGTTAGGAGATGTGGACGATCCACATGACCTGCGGATCAGGTACCTCGGAGACCATCGCCGTTATAATATTTGCGTTCAGTGACCTCAAAATCCCAAAACTTATTTTTGTCAATTATGTCCGAATTACAAATTTATCATTTTTGGAAAATGCATTATCCTTGTTTAATAATACAATTTTCATTTCCACATTATCATTTTTATTCACAAAATTTCCTGACACTCTTACGAATCGAATGCAACAAGTTTCATTGAGATCCATTCATCTGCAAAAATTTGGCAGTTTTATTACTTCATTGCCTCGCCTATTAATAAGTGTAATTAACTAAATAAAACCAGAATTATTTGCAACAGTGGCAACATTGCACATACTCCTATTCCATAAAGTTGAAAATTCATCAAACAACAATAACCAGATGGAAAAAAGTGTTGGTTAAAAACATGTCAACTGAATGGAAATGAATTCGCGCAAAGTTCAAGTGTATGTATAGTGTAAAATAGGGATTTTAAAAACTTAGGTAAAAAATATGGTCGAACCATTTCTTAAGTGGCTCTTGAATAGAATTTGAAACACATGTTATCAAGCCCGATGAGCATCTCATAAAGACATCCTAAAATCATGCCCTCTCTGATGTCACAACACAATAGACGTAAAAGATGAGGGTATAATACAAATAGATCAATTATATTAATGGGTTAGAAACTTAGAAATAGATTCTACTACAGTTGTAGAAAGACTACATAAAAAATGGGAAAAAAATTTTATTGTTATTTATCTGCAATAAAATTTGTAAATACATATAAATATACAGAAACAAGGTTTTGTGCAGTAATGTGAAAATTAGTTATTATATTGTAGTTAGTTTAAAGATATCTTTAAATCGTTTCCAAAATTAATTCTTAATAACCTTAAACTACTGGGAATGGAAAGCAAAATATCATAGAAAATTAGTGGATGCGGATAAGACTCATCCAAGTTGTGAAGCCAGACGAGAAAAAGAAGAACCTTGAACAATGTTCTATTTAGTCATAGAATAATTATTACTTTATTATTTTACGTACCTCAAAATTTGGCCAGGATTACTTTGAATTTTGGATAAGAAATGATGAAACATTTTATCTCCGTGAGCTGGATTACTTTTCTCGTATTTTTCGAATTCTTCACCACCTGCAGCTCCTCCACCCTCGGGACTAACTAAGTGTAGATTGTCGTCATTCTTCTGTTGATAATCTTGCAATAACTCTTTAACATGCCTATAATAAAAAACAATAAATTACAAGTGTCAAATAAGTTCGTAAACATGTCATCGCTACTCGGGGTTAAAATGTTAACGAGTAATTTGTTCCTTTACTAAAAACATAAACTCTACATATCAGATAAAAGCGAAAAATCTGCCAAGAGCAACAAAATATAAACTTAATAAAACGATAATATAATGAAAACCATAATAGATGGTGGAGATAACAAACAACGCCTATGGAGAAGGCGTTCAAATTTTGAATTCTATAGACTTTTTGGTGTGTAGATATAGTTAAAACCAGAGGTTAAAACCATCAAAATAAACCGCCACGTTTTCTACCTGATGAAAATGGATAGAAGTGACCGAAGTGACAGCGAAGGAAGGATGGTTTGAAGCAGGCCAAGACTTATGAACGGTTGCAGCGCCATCTGTTGATGACATAACAAGTTCAATGAACGTTTTGTTCTCTATTGAATGTGAAAATTCATCATTACAAATCATTATTTTTATTTTACCTATATATTACCTATAATGTTGACGAGTTGACAACACTAACTTGTACCTCTGTCAAAATCAGTTTCTTTTATAGCTCCGGAAAAATGCAATTCCTTTTTTAGCTCTTTAATAAACTCTGTGTCAAAAATAACTAAACTAAAGTTTACAGAAAAATAATATAAATTGCGTTATTCCGCCCACTTTTTGAGATAATACTACCCATCCCCTTCCTTTTTTAATTGTTGGTAATTTAACAATGTTGTTGTCCATTATGTTACTATAAGGGATTATGATTATTTTATTCTTGATAACATATAATCCCCGTCTTCTTCTAAATGTGCATATCTTCTAGTTCTAGAGATATTGGCGACCACTTCTAGAGATATACGTCTACGTCCAGGGCCTCTCTTACCCTCAATCTTGCCTTCTAGAATCAACTGTAGAAGTCAGTATTTATCATTACGCATGCTGTGGCCGAAGTAAGCCAATTTTATGTTTTTTTATGGTGTTAATAATTTCTTTGTCTTTTCTTAGCCTCTGGAGAATAGTTATGTTACTTGTGTGGTGTATATATGAGACCCTCAACATACGTCGGTAGCACCACATTTCAAATGCCTCTAATCGTTTTATGGCATCTTCTGTAAGGCTCCAGCGTTCTACTCCATAGAGGAGGACACTAAAAACGTAACATCTAAGAATTCTTATGCGTATGTTACGTAAAAATTAGTCATATTAAAAAAACCTGTAAACATGTTGTTTATTCACTAATATGTTATAGATTCTACGAGACCCTTCGACTAGCTAGCGGAGATTCCAAGAACCGGTCTGTTCGAACGGTCCGGAAATACGGTAAATGAAAAAAAAACAGCCGAAGCTTTTCAGTATTTTCGACAAGGGTCGACATCCTTCTAGCCTGGTCAGAGGGAATCGCCCGAACTCTCGAATAGCTGTATTTGGATATAAATAACAGGATTTTTATTGTGGCCAGCAGTCAAAAGAAGATATCGCGATCGGTTAAAATTGTATCGCACGTAGATAAATTATATAATTATTAAGTGTAAAATAAATTAGTAGTAATAAAGACTTCGATACATTTGTGAGTGTTATAAATATTGAACCTTTAGTAAATTAAAATAAGAACAATAAATTAGAATTAATAAAGACTTTACACGTATATTGATACTTAAAGATAAGTTGCAGAGAATCTTCCTAAGGCTGTTGAAAGAGCTTCTGGCTTTTTCAATGCGAGTTGTTATTTTTTTCCACTCTTTCTAACGGGCTATCGACTATTGTAATTTGGGCGTTTAGGTTGGTGGTCTTACTAATGATCATTATTTTTGTCTTCTTGCAATTAAGTTTTAGGCCGTATTAACTTACATCTTATTCCTAAGATAATAAATTTCGTTTACGAATGATTGAAGATTGGGACGTTTTTCACATTTAGTCCCAGTGAATCAGCTGTCAATTAAATTTCACAGAACGAAATATTGCGTTGGCAGTGTTGCAATGTCCTTATAATGTATATTTTAAATCCTTTAAATACAAGAGATAAAGCTTCTAAAATTTACATTGTTATTATATTATTTTAAGGATTCTGCAATTTTATACCTTATATAAAACATTAATGAATTAATATTTGTTTCGTTTGATATTAATTACAATTAATTATTAGATAATTTTTTGGCAATTGCCCTTTGATAAATTATCGGATAGATTTGGCAATAGAGTCAGAATACTCAAAACACCAGTTGCCAGATGTCTTTTTAACTATATTATTTATACTTACATTTTACTATTTACGTTTAAAAACTATTTTAAAAATATTACTTTTTCTTTTTTTGGTGATTAAGTGTTACTTTTTAAATATCCTATTGCATTTGATTGCGTATGTTTCATTTGTAATCTAAATATCAACACTGCCAAACACAAATATTTCATTCTGACAAACTCATTTGAAGCTATCTTCACTGGGACCAAATATAAAAAACGTCCAATATTGTTATTGTAGTTTATCTTGATTTTTTTTTGTTGAGTTTTTCAATAAATTATCTGCATCTGAAATTACCGGATGTAAATATTCATAAATTTTTAGTTTATTTGAGCGCACCGTACCTGTCCCGGTTAATATTGTGTAATGTACCTACCTACTCACATGTAAGATAATTAAAGTATCTATGTATTTCTATATAGTTTTTAGTCACCTGGTATATGTTATTTACAATTATGAAAAATTCTCATGTATAATCACTAATAATTATTTGCTGTTAGAAATCAGAATCAATACTCTTCATAAATATTTTCCTATTTAGAATAAATAAGTTTCGCTAGTTTATTCGCCTAATACTTCGTATCTATGGAATAATAATAATTTATTTCTCTTATTTCTTTGTTCGATAAGCTATCCGTATTTGCTATTTTAATATTAATATTTGAGTCCAATCTCTTGTACTCAAATCCATCCAGAAACATCGTTAAATAATTGTAGATAACAGAACTTATAAATTCATAGTTTTAAGAAATAACAGGCAGTGTAATTTTCATCCTCTAATATAATAAATTTATACATGTCAATATATTCTGTTTAATTCCAAAACAAAGAGTTAGTCCGGAGAAGAAATAAACGCATAGTATTCCATAACAATTGCAACGCATTGTAATCGATATTTTTATTAGATATATACACATAAATCATTTATTATTATAAATTGTTTTAGATAAACAACCTTTACGTCTAGAACATGTCTGGAACAAAATTATGCAATTAAGATTAATTTGAACCCATAAACAAGACTCATAAAATTTCAAGTGAAGGCAAGGGTGTGATTTCTGGGCACTTACTAATATAAACATCACAAAATTAGTTGAGTTTCCTAGAAGCAGATAACTGATATCGTGATATCCTTTATGAGGTGTCGAATAAAACGACAATTTTTTTGCATTAGGGACAGGGACGGACTAGGGTCTAAGGATCCTAGGGCCGATCATTTTTAGGGCCCGAAAATTAGATTTTAACTTTTTATATTTACTTTTAATTTTTATTTAACATAAAAACGTGTATATTAATAATGGACCGCCGGAGTGATGACGTAGATTTTATTGACATCTGTCAGTTTCACTTTCCAAACCAACGTTGTTTAGTGTGGATAATTTGTATTTTTCGTTATTTTTTCATTTTTTTTACAGTATCTTTCCGCTTTTTGCAATATCTATGCAAGTATTTTAATAGTTACTACAACAATTTTACTAGGTTGTGTAAATAATAAAGCATGTTGTTTTAAAAAAATAGCAATAAAATGCATGTATCAATAAAGTAAGGTTAGAATTTCTTTAATTTATACTTTTAAACTATATTTCATAGAAATAGAACACTGACTTGTGATGGTGTTATCGTAAAAAACACTATACTTAAAAGAAAAAGCAGCAGAGGAAGGAAAATATTAACTTTATAGAAATTAAAAAGTCTTGAGACTGGGCATTTCAACTTTTGTTTGGAAAGTAATAACAACAATATGGCCGCCTTAACGTTACACTCTGGCTGTCCATTATTGCTGAAACGTATCAAGATTATGCCGAATAAAGTCTACAAGTGTGAACGAGCGTTATTGCGGGTGTGGATGCATAAGTACGACCCGTGTTTATGCATCCATATCCGCGAGTATTAATGTGTGTAAATACGATCAAGCCTCGATCGTATTTACAATCGTCATCATTTTCACAAATTTCACTTACTCAAACTTCATAAACAGCAAATTGTGTTCGAAACTATTCTGCCAAAAATGCCAGCAGGAAAACCCAAGCAATTCCGATGCAGAATGCTCTGCTCGTTCTGATGCTGTGAGTTCCTTAAGGGAAAATGAAGAAAACATTATCTACGTTATTTTTTCTTAAACAAAAATGACAAACCATTTGAGTATTTAAGTAGATCTTATCACGCTTGACTTTCTAGAGAATAACATTGGAATGTATTTCCCCACCCTTCTACGTTCTGCATCATATTATCAAAACCATTCTATTGTTACAACTCTGCTTGATGTAGTCCAATGATAAACCGGTACAGTGTCCTTTGCTACGCACTATAACTTCCAGTCTACGGTTGTGGAATAGGAAGGATAAATAGGAATTTATTGAAATAAAAATCTGGAACCTGTTTCATCCTGTGAAATGAGTGTGGAAGAGAAATTTTAACTGAAGTAGGTAGAGCTACCAGCAGGGGACAAAATCTGAAGTAATCTTTCCCCTACTTGCATTGTAAAACAGTACTGCTACTCCAGTCGTCAGAGACGAAAATGCAACTGAACGACTAAAAATCATATGAACAAGCTGAATTTGGCCGAAAATGCCCTAAAAAAGATGCAAAAAAGTTTACTACTTTTACCCCCGGGCTTTCCCCTAATACACCTCCCGTAGAGGGCGGAAAAAAATCTATTTATCAAGAATCTCTACAGAATCTGTATAAAAAGATAATGAATTTTTACCGTCGAGCTGATACAATTTTCAAATCGCAGATCGTTCAAATGGTTCATTCTACACAAAAAATGCTAATAAAAATTTTTGATCAAAATTATCTTAGCTACATTTTTATTTGAAACATTTTTTTCTACGGCATAAAGATTTTTGATAAATCGATTTCTTTGCGTTTTTACTCCCGTACGAGGGGAGTTTTAGGGGGAGGCCCGGGAGTTAAATTGGTAAACTTATTTGCGTCTTTTTTGGGGTCAAAAATTTAATATTCTCGGCCCAATTCAGGTAGTTCGTATGATTTTTAGGAGTGAAATCTCTGACAACTGGACTTTACCCGCAAACTCCTTTAGCATATCATTAATTAGATACTTCCCACAACAATTGAATTGTTGAATTTGTTTCCGCTAAAATAATATTTAAATCTGTTTTATAACAACTGTTTTAATTTTAGTTTTATAATAAAAGAATCTAACAGACATTTAGATAATGAGGATTCTTTTCAGTTAACATTTGCGTAATTATAATTTCATTACGAAAATGACTTTTTAATAAAATCTTATAAAAAACTATGAATTTCTTCTTTAAATTGATATTTAGTAATTAGTTACGGTTTAATTGAATATTATCAAAGAAACATATATCATTGTAACTAATTAATACAATATTTTGTCGAAATATTGCATTAATTGGTTAAAACGATCTTCATTTAAAAGTAATTAAAAAAATTGTTCGTCTACTTCTTCTTCCTTTTTGTATGTAGACTTTAAAGCCTGTTTTTTCTTCAATATTAGCCTCCTAAATTGTTTAAATTATCGCACCATCTTTTTCTTGGTGTGCCAATACTTCTTCCTCCATTTTTCATCTCTGTTGTTTCTACTTTGTGTCATAGATTGCGCCATTAAGAGATCCCGCCGCTGTACTTGCTTTATTCTCGTACTTCTTTTTTAACATCTCCGTAACTTGTTATATCTATTCCCAGATATCTAAACCTTGCTTCCTGCTTTATTATTTTCCCATCAATTTCGATTTTACATCCTGGTTGGTATTTAGATGTCATACATTTGGTTTTATCTGCTGATAGTATCATATTGTATTTCATGCTGTTGTATTAAAGATGTGAATTAATTTTTGGAGCTCGTCTTCTGTCTCGGCGATTAATGCGGCGTCGTATGTATAACATAATATTTGGATTTCTGTGTTTCCCATTCTGTAACCACGACTTTTACGTATTCCTTGTATTATTTCATCCATTATTATATTAAAGAGAAGTGGGTTTAACGAGTCAACCTGTTTAACTCCGCTTTGTACTGGTATACACTGAGTTAGTTTTTCATTTATCTTTGCCTTTATTCGTTTATGGAAATAGATGTTTTCGATGGTTTGTATAATATTGATTGGTATGTTTCTTTTATACAGTATGTGTAAGACGTCTTCGACTTGGATACGATCGAAAGCCTGTGTGAGGTCTATAAAACATAGATATGCTGGTTTATTGTACTCGATGGTCTTTTCTGTGATTTGTCTTAGTACAAATAAGGTGTCTCTCGGGAGAACCTGTAACTCCTAGAGAGCGCATCCCCAGGTGGCGGATAGGGGAATGCTCAATCCCCTGCTTACCGACCAACGGCTTCGAGCGGATGAGTCGGTAGGTAGTAGGACACTCTTTTGTCCTGGAGCTGAGAAATCAACTCCAAAGGCGGAAGAACCAATAAATTGGTCACCATGCAACCGGTGCAATTGGATGCAACTTACATGCTTATTTATAATGATTAAACCTACCTGTCACTAACATTCCCAGATTGTTTTTCTTGAGTTTCTTCCCACACTGACATGAAGTATGGTGAAAACTGAATTAAAGACGATCTTCTCGTGTCCAATTGACAAATATCCTGGGGAAGTGGAGCAGCTTCTTGAAGAAGCGAAGCGATGTCACGTTGAGGAAATGTTGGAGTATCGATGCTTATTACTTCTCCTTCATTTCCTTCAATTTCAGCTGTTGCCAAAGGGGAGTGCAATCGACCTACAGCACCACCTGCAAATAAAACGAGTTTTATAAAAACAATAAAATACTTTTTTGAAGAAGACGTTTGGCTTTGATGCATTTATCGCTGACCTATCAAAGGGATCAGAAAGAAAGGATAAAAATATATGTAAGTATCAATTCTATTATATTTTAGGAAACTAAATCATTCATCTAAGACAGAGTTTCCCAAACTTATCTAAACCGCAACCCATTTTTGCTAAAAAATTTGTTCGTGACGCTCTAATTTCCCCCCGCTCATTTATTCAATATTATTTGACAGAAATAGCGTGCCTTTACAATTATCTGATGGTTTCTCAAATTTAATTTTACTTTACTGTTGAAGTTAAAATCAAGAACAATTATTTTAATGATTGCGATCTGTCCCACTAGTAATTAGTAGTAGGTACTTCTGCCAGAATAGCATTTACAATAAAAATAAATAATAAGAAGTCGACTGCACATTGTACACCGCGACATATTAGCTTGTGTCTACATCGCAAAACTCTTCCATGATAATCGCGAAAGCGCTCGCTACTAGATGGCACTCTGGAACGTTCTCGTAGCCTCGTTTTGGCTTTATATAAGCGGCGATGCGCAACGAAACCTCAGTTCGAATCCAAACAGCCTATGGTGGCGAATGCGGTGTTGAGTAATGAATAAATATTTTACGCCTTACGTATTTCCGTTTACGTATTTACGTCTACGATAAATTATAAATTATGGATAAGTATTTAAAAAGAAAAACAGATTCTACATTGATGAATATGGTTTTACCGTTATTTCCAATAAACTACAATGTGTTATTTGTGGACAAGTCTTGTCAAAAGAAAGCATCAAGCCATCAAAGTTACTTCGACATTTAAATAGCAAACATCCAGATAAAGACAAGCCCGTACAATTTTGTGAAAGAAAGCTGAACGTCCTTCACAAACAGCAAGACAGTTTTCCCTTGGCAACCACTACTAATGAAAAAGCATTATTAGCAAGTTATAAAGTTGCTTATCGTGTTGCCAAAACTAGTAATCCGCAAACAATTGCTGAAAATCTGATTTTTCCAGCAGCTGTTGAAATGGTACATATAATGTGTGGGGAAAGAGCGGCTGCAAAATTAAATACAATACCTCTGTCAAATAATACTATCCAAAGAAGAATTAGTGATATGGCAGAAGATATTCAAGCGCAAGTTGTGGAAAATCTCAATAAATGCACGTACTTCTTTCTTCAAATGGACGAATCCACAGATATTTATAACTGTGCCCAATTCATTACGTTTGTAAGATATGATACAAATAATGGCATTCAAGAAGATATTTTATTTTGTTCCCCATTGGAGACCAATACCACTGGAAAATATTTACTCGACACTTTTGTGAAACGTATAAGTAAATATGATATTGACTGGGGTAAATGTATTGCTATATGCACAGATGGCGCTAAAGCTATGACAGGACATAAATCTGGTCTTGTCCCCAAATTACAAGAAATAATGCCTAATGCCAAATGGAGACATTGTTTTTTACATCGAGAAGCTCTTGCGTCCAAAGCTTTACCTCCTGAAATGGACTGTGTTATGAAAATCATCATTAAAGTTGTAAATTCTATTAAAGGAAAAGTTTTGCAGATCAGTATTTTTAAAAAAATTTGCGAAGACATGGGTGCTTTATTTGAAAATCTTCTCTATCACACCGAAGTAAGGTGGCTTTCAAAGGGCAACGCCTTAAAAAGAGTATTTCACATAAGAGCAGAGCTTTTTTGGCTTCTGAAACTAGGTTTCCTTGCTGATATTTTCGAGCAATTAAATATTTTGAACAGTAATTAACAAGGTCGCGACATTAATATAATTACAGCCACAGATAAAATTAAGGCGTTTCTAAGAAAAATCGATTTATGGTCGACCTCACTTGGCAAAAAACAACTCGATTCATTCCAGTGCCTTCAGGAAAATATGGAAAATGTATCCAATTACAGTGCTACAAATTTTGAACAAGTTTTTGCTGACATGCATGTTACTTTGCTCAATTTACAACAACAGCTCTGTGATTATTTCCCCGAAGAAATTCAAAACAGTTACGACAGTTGCAGATGGATACTAAATCCGTTTTTAACCGATTCCTTTCAGCATGTTGAAATACCAATAAACATGAAAGAAAAACTTATTGAAATATCAAGTGATGGAATGTTGAAGCTCCAATTTTTTTCCCAGAACGCGGACCAATTTTGGACCGAAAAGATGCAGGAATACCCCCAGTTGGCGAGTGAAGCTGTAAAATGTTTGGTTCCATTTGTAACATCATATTTGTGTGAGTTAAGTTTCTCGTCTATGACTGCCATTAAAACAAGAGTTAGAAATCGTCTCGTACTTGAAAATGATATAATTGTGTGTGTCTTAAATACACAGCCTAGATTTGAAAGATTAGTTTCACAGAAACAGGCGCATAGCTCTCATTAAGATTATAACATTTGACTTTGTTTTACTCTTTTATTTTTACAAACTTTAATATTTAGTTTTATATTTCATCTGATAATTAATTGTTAATTTCTATTTATGGCGTTGTTAAAATAAAAATACATGATCTAACAAAGTGGTGCTTTTCTCTTATTTTGGAAATGTTCGCCTAGTACCTCATGGCGACCCCCACTTTGGGAAACACTGATCTAAGATTTTTTTATTAAAAGTAGTTAGCAACAAAGTAATATTTACAGATAACTCAATTTTTTAATTTATTTAAGATATAATTAATTTTGTGCTTTTTAGAACATGATTATTAAATGTAAAATATGTGGTTTAATTCTGTAGTTGAACAAGAACTGTATACTTTCGCCTGTTTAATATACTGTATTACTGTATTCAAAAATTTAGTAAGCATATTTATATTGTCTGTAACTTTAATAATTCAACAGGCATTTCATGCGGTCTAGGAGCCTTTCCGTTTTTCATATTCTTCAGCGCATATAGTACCTCTTCATTTATTATCATTGGTCCGTTATCTGGTTCCTCTGATATTGTTGGGCAGAGTCTTCCATTTTTCTATATATTCTTTCTATGTCTGTAGTTCCTTTGTCTGCTGCTATATGCCCGTCGCCGTCAATTCTTGTAATTCTTTTAGATTTTGTATTTCTCTTTCTCATTCAGCTAATTTTCCTTTGCTTGCCTTATTTTCTTTTGTATTTCTGTGTGTATATTGGCATATCTTGTTTTGGCTACAGTTTTATTGATTTAAGCTGAATTCAGCAACAAAAAATTAGAAAGAATGCAAAGGTTGTTGTAGTTGTTGATAACCCAGACAAGACACCATGTTGTTCTGGGCCAAATTTATTTGCAACATTTTTCATTATATTCACGTACAGTATACAAACAATACTATATTGTTTCCATTAACTGATTTAAAAACTGGAGTAATGGTAGCCTCTTTGAGTTTGTCTGGAAAGGTGTTCGTTTTAAGATATAGACTGAATAGATGTGATAATGATTTTTGAAATATATCAGAACATCCTTTAAAGATATAGGCAGGGATATTATCACTACCAGTGGCCTTTTTTTGGCTTTAATTTTTTTATATTAAGCTTGACATCTACACTAACTTATAACTGAAAAGTTAAAAGATCCCTGTGAACTAACATAATGTCTGAAAGCCACTATATGTACAATCATTTAAAGACATCTCATGAGGAAACAGCTGGTCTGTCTCCTGCTTCTGATAAATATCCAAAAACTATTTGGGTCATGCAAAATGTTATGTTCAATATTATTTTGATACTGCATAAACTCATTTTTGATTTGTTTTTTAATAGTACTTCTAAGACTGTTGAATTTATGGTTATCGACAACACTAGCTATCCCTATTTTTATATGTTTGCTTAATTTATTTATTTTTTCCGATATTTTAAATTAGGTCTATACTAAAATAAACTGGATATGTATGGTTTTGACTATTAATAATTTTATTTTGGATGGCTTTCAACACCTTATTGTAAAATTAATTAATACAATCTGTAACAATTATACATATCAGTGGCGCACACCCAGTGGGGTTAACCCCCCCCCCCCAGGACCCTATTCCGACACTGTTACTGACAATCAAAATGGAGGTAGCATCATAAAAAAAATTAGGGGCCCAACCAAACCCCACCCCCCAGAGGGAAATTCTAGGTGCGCTACTGACACATATCTTACCACAGTCAGTGTCCCTTATTAATTAATACAAAAGATTAATCCTGACCTAATCATACCTATAAGACTGTACTTAGGTATATTGTTCAGTACATGAATTATCTTTAAATTCAAGTAATAATTCTAGTCCCGGGTGACAATCATCTTCAGGAACCAAAGGAGACCCAGATTTAGTTAGATTGGTTATAGATATATTTGAAAGTATAAGATCAAGCAGTCTATTTTTACAATTTAAAATTGTTATTGTTTGTATTATTATGTTATGTTGGGTAAATTCGCGTAGAAATTCGGGTAGAACTTCGCATCCAGATGTTCTGTTGCCATGTTCATAAGATATATAATAATAACAATGGTTTTAATTATGTTGAATAAATTGATTTTTCTTATGTCTACATATGCTATGTATTTTATCTTATATAAATGTAATCTATAAGAAAATATTGATTTCTGTATTTTTGATCTAAAACAAAATACCAGTTCATAAAAATCAATAAATTGCCAGGACAGTTTGACAATGGTGTTTGGTATAGTATTTCAAATTTTTTAGTCATCAATAATGATCCGATAACATGCCTATCCGTGCATTATTCTGACATAATAATAAAACTTAAAGTCACATGACTATCACTAAGCCAAAGAACCGAACGTCTGGATTAGCAAATAGGCGGCAGTGTGGCGTGGCAGTGAGAGTGAGAGGCGGATCATTCAATTGGGGATTGTTTGTGTTTGGTTTGAGCTTGAGCTGCTTGAGAGTTGAGACAGTCTGTTGCGTAGAATTGTTGCGGATGGAGCGGCAGTGCCGGCACCGGCAGTACACATGAGACAGTAACAGTAGTAT